TTGTTAAAGGAGAATCTTCCATCAAGAACCTTGTGATCTTTGGACCTACTCCAACTGGAAATAAGTCAGAGGTCCCAACTCAAACTTCATAGTTCGTAACAGCTATGATTTCTGAGTCATTTTCATCTTGGATTTATTCCTTTTTGATGAAAAGTCAATTGCAGCTTTTACTCTTTCAGTAGGCTAGTACTGTGCAGGTTTTCATCGTAATAAAAGAACTAAGACACAGTTTATGAGTTCTCTGCTATCTTTATTTTTCAAGTTGTGTATTTCTCTGTTTCCCAGGAAATTCAGCAGCTTAGCAACCTGCTGATGAGAGAGCAGTCACCAACACTTCAGGAACGTGGCACTCGGCTCTCTCTGTTAGCTACACTTCACACCTGCAAGTGACTGCTTGCAAGTGTTAGCTGATTCACAGAGGCCACTTGCCCTTCTGAATACTGCAAAATACTCAGTGTTTCCTTTTATAAAACTACAGCTGTGGCTTTGTTGGTTTTTTTTCCCCCTCAAGACATAGGAAAAGGTACCTTTGTTAGCTGACCATTGAGCTGGTCTGACTCAGAGACCTCCTGCTCTCCGATGCTCTTGATCCCTTGGTGCCGCTACCAGCTGGGCACGGCACAGCTCAGGAAGGCAGTGGGTACCGAACCCATCTGGTACCCTACCTAACCCAACAGGGGCTGGTGCAACATGCTGCTGAATCACCAGGCACTTTCACTGTTAACTAGCATCCCCAAAAGCAGGTCCCATCAGTCATGGTCAGGAAAGGTATCTGCAACACTAAAAGCAAGAAACAGGTGCCCCTGGCTCTGGCCTATAGCTGAAATAGAGCCTGCTGTGTCTTGCCAGACACAGGAGAAGCTCCTGGTCTCCAGGCAAGGTGACTGCTTTCTCCTGGGTGTCTTTAATGCTCGGCACAGAAGCTCGAATGCTTCCCTGCTCCAGCTGAGTGAGAGCACCATAAAGAGCCTCTAAGAGCACTGCTGGGAACAAAATGGACAATGGCAGTGTGTCGTGGCAGAGACCTGTGCTCACGGACGAACATTATTGGATCATGTAAAGCCTGGCCTTTTCTGTTCCTTTTTTGCTGTTGTTCTTTTTGCTTGTATGTAGCTCTGTCCAGCACTGGGAAGACAAATTAAACCAGAAACTTTAAAACTGGTTTTAGTGTTTCAGGCTTGTTACTTTACCTAATTAACCAGTATAATGGAAAGAAATCTGAGATTGATGAGTGGCCAACATTGGGTCATTTCAGATGTTCCTCTAGCTCTTTCTCTGTCCACCGGTGACCAAAAGGGCTGCCTAGGGAGAGGTGCAGGACAAGCATACAACGAGGCTTCTAACAAAATGCAGGATTGTCACAAACATGAATCTGTTTTAACAAGCAAATACAAGAAGCCCATTGAAGACTTACCCTTTGTATCTCTGCAACTCTGCTTGCACATCTACAGCACTGTACAGCGAGTGCTGAATAAGTAAACAAAGTTCTGAATATTTTTTCTGGTGGAAAAACAAAAGTAAGCCAGCGTCATGATTTCCATCAGTAAAGGTGCTATCATGACAGGAATCAAATCTCTGTGACACAAAACATTAATGTTGATGAGGCTACTATGCAGAATAGTGAATGACATTTAAAATCACAAATGTCTGGTAGTCCTAAGCTGTCTGTAATTGTGACAGCTGGGTGCAACCAATGTTTCAGCTTCTAATAAGGCTGAATAGAAAAAGTTTGACACTGCAAATTGATTGCCTGTGTCGTTCTTCAGTGAGTGAGGATATTCTACTGCTTTTTTAAAGCAATTTTAGCCAAGAAAAAGGTCTCAGAAATCATTAATTTTAAAGGAACACAGGAAAGCTGTATTTGGCTGACATGGAGGATTAACAGGGGAGAAAAGTAGGACAGAAAAGGAGCTCAGAGCAGATGGGTGCTAGCAACAAAGAACAAACCTGTAGCAATCAGAAGGGATAAAACCAAAAACAACTCCAAAACTGTGTATTTTAATGTCCTCACTTACTTCAGATCACATTCCCAGGGTACGCTTCCTGCTAGAGCTGGTATCACACATCTCCTCTGGCAAAGCTCCTGTTCAAAAGGAAGGTTTCAGACAAGGTGCTAAACCAAAGTGAAAAAGAATACAGAAATGGAAATCTTCTGTTGCGAGCAGCTAAATCGCACAGTTCTGCCACAAGTCTCTAATGAGCTACTGCTTTTATTAAAGCTTGACAACCTGACCATGATACCATTAAACAGCTTGGAGTGCAAGAAGGTAAAACATAAGAAGCAAATCTGATTCCCTGTGTTAAAACCAGGCAGAGCAATGATCTCAAGACCCAGATTCAGTTTCTGGGAGGTTGTCCTCACTGCCACTGTTCTCACTGACTCCAAAAAGGGGCAGTTGCTGCTTTGAGGTTTGGGTTGCAAACCCCTCCTTACAAGCAAAGTTCAGGTAAGAGTTTCCTGAGCAGCCTTCTGCCAGAAACAAAAGTCCTCTTTGGGCAGAACAGTCCATTATTACCCTGTAGACTTAATTTTTCTCCATGTGAACCTTCTTCTAAAGCATTTGAAAGCTGCCAGTGTCAGCACACAAAAGAGTGAGCTGCCCAACCACCCAAGCACGCATGGTCCCCGTCCCAGTACGTTCCAACAGGTACCCAATGGGAGAATGTGACTGCAAATGTGTCCTCAGTATGAGAAGACAATGGCCAAACAGTTGGTCTGTGGTTTAAAATACCTGTGCTGCAATGCATAATACATTCAAGTGCTAGAATTAGTAGCGCTTACAGATGGTATTGAAGAGGATGCAGTTTTGTTCAAGTGTTTGCCATCGTTTGGTGCTATTACCCCTGTCAGTGAATGGTAATAGTTCTCTGAGCCTGCCAGAGGTGGGCACAGTAAGAAAATAAAGTGCTTTTCTTCTAGAGACCAGTGTATCTATTCATCTAGTGATAATAACTTCTCGTGCTTTGTGAGCACCCTTTGTATACCCGTTGTGGTACCCAGAAATTGCCCTCAGAGAAGACACCAGACAATGACAGGTTCTTTCAGGACCTTGCTCCCATCTGTCTCCAAGTTTCATCTCCCAGGCTTCCCCAACATGTGCTTCCATCCCTGAGCATAACAAAAGGTAGTTTGGGTAAACATGAGTTTTGAGAGATTTAATATTGAAATAACCACAATTGAAATGAAACTCCGGATGTCTTGAATCAAAATGTTTCACTGCAGAAGCCAAACACCTTCATTGCTGAACTTGCTGCAGAAACACTAGGAAATTCCCAGTGTTCAAAGCCCGTGCAAGTGAGTTGGGTCTGACAAAACACAGGAGAGGACTGACATTTGTTTCAAGGCAGGTATCACCAGTTTGATGATTTTGGTCTGTGGTGTTTCCAGGAAGCTCCATGAAAGGTAAATTTGGTAAGTAAAACCCAGCCAGGGCACATCCTCCTTCCTGCCACAAAGCAGGATTTCCCCTGTCTGTTACCCTTTTATCAGGCTTGGCATTATGTCCCATCCAAGGGATGCTTCACCAAGACTTAGGATACAGTTTTCAACAAACAGAAGGAGCAAAATCAAAAGCTTTGCTGCAGCTTTTGTTCCTTCTCTAACTACTTTCGGGCTACTTTTGGATTCCTACATGGAAGAAAGACAAAATACACCTGTAAGACTTGTTAAAGCCACAAAATCTATTGAATACTTGACTTTACAGATGCTGGTGGGAATGAGCAAGGAGGTCCTAGGAACAGACAGAGTTCAACCTGCTCAGCAAAGCAAAGGACCTGACAATGGGACAAGAGATTGACAACATGCTAGAAAGAAGTGGGGGAAAATAGTGTAAGTCTGAGGGGTGCTTTTGCAGTCAGAGGCTGACAATGGATCAGCTTCACGTTTTGACAATATTTTCCATCTGTGGAAGAGATCAAGTATTGATTTCCTTCTCAACCTTCCTATGTGTGTGTGTGGGCACAGGCACAAACCCGAAATGCCAGGTATCCAGCAACACCACTGCACAGTTAACATTGTGTAAAAAAACCAGCGATCTTGAAAAAATCTTCAAGGCACCGAAAAAAAAAGAAAAGAAACCAAATGAGGCTTTGAAATTTAAAATAATTTTTTTTTAAAAAGGATGCAATTAGCGTCAATTTGACTAATCCAGTCCTTGACAGCTTTTCTGCCCTTAACAGAGCTTGCAACATACGCTTCCTCTGCCAAGCCCCTTTATTAAGGCTCTCCCAAGATGCCAGTGCTAGCAACTGACAGCACGACAGCTGCTCACTGCTCACCAGGGCACCTCACAGATCCTCGCATCCTCCTGTGCTGACAGAGGTGATCATTCTCACCGCAGCAGCTTCCCTGGCTTCCAGTGCCTTTCAACTTGCATTATGAAGTGAGTTTTAAATGGGTACCTATTAGAAAATACAACACAAAGTGTCCTTTCTTTTCAAACGCTCTTTGTTTTATGCATCCATTTGGAGTACACAGTTGGATGGTAATTGCTTGTGAGGTATATTAATTTTTGCAGCATTGCTAATGAGAAGTTTATGGTTGGCTTACTTCACAGTATCAAATGTAACATAAAACACTTAAAGTTGTCACTCAGGCTACAAAGGACTCCTGTTCCTCCTCTTCCCTTCCTGATCTACGGACAATTGGCATGCGGAGGCACCTCATTTTTGGGACTGTAATTCCTTCAATCTAGTATTATTTGCATGTCTATAAAACATGACATAATGATCTCTGTTATCATTATAAAACTGACTTGCCATTAGTTTTGAAAATGCAATCCTATCGCATCCTTAGGGCGATTAATCCTTTAAGCATCGCTGCTCATGTTATCTAGGACTGGACACTTGACTTGTAATTATGGCTGTATCCTTGAACTGTGGTGACCAATACAAGACCAATTTTGTTGCTGTGGTGGGCAGGAGAGATGGCACAAGGACAGTGATGCTGTCTAGGCATGGCATTAAGTCCAATACACAGACAGCTTAGTAGCATGAAAAGCCACCCTGGCAAAGGAAGTACATGGCAAAGTAAGGGCTATACCTATGCTGAAACCCTTCTGACACTGCTGCTGTTCCTGGGGCCTTACGCAGGTCGAGTGTTCTGCCCAAATTTCCCTGCCAGTGCAATCTGTGGCAGTCCCAATGCCTCATGGACTGCATTTTGGGAGACTCTTCAGAAAGAATAAGCATGTAATTTTCAGGACAATGTGCATCTTCAGGAGAAACATGAAAGGAAAAATACTGGCTTTTTAAACTAGCTGAAGAGACCTTTTTCACAATGACAGAACCGCACAGAAGACTGCAGAGGAACATAGCCCGAGTGTTGTGGTTGAACGAGGGACAACGGTGTTTTGTAAAATGGGGAATGGACAGGTGTGACTGTTAGAAAA